GTCTTTTTAACAACATGATATAGTCGATATCTGATGTTTTGGGCCACACAGCAACATTCCCTTTTCCTGATTTTCTTTACCTCTTCCCACTGTGCACAGTCTTGGTAATATGTCAACCTTGGGGGCTTCCCATTATCTTCACAGGGGCAGCCCACCACTTCTTCCTAGGTACCACCAGGGGTCTTATCCACACCACCACTATACACCTAAGAAGAGCTTCCTGAGGACAGGGACTTTTCCACTGATAACTTTTATATCCAGAAGGCCTTGTACAGAAAATCAACAAGTTCTACTTGGTTTCTACTTCTAAAAGGCAGGTAGTGAGTCTATATGGTAGAAAGTCCACTGTAATGTTAAGTGTATGAGTATGAGCTACAGAGTCAGATAGTTGGGCCTAATTTTCTCTTTTGATACCAACTGGAGAAAAGTGCTCTGAATAAGCCTTCTTACACAGTTCTAAGGAGAGGTATGTCTGGGATTTGAGTCACAGCACAGTAATAGGTAGAGTGGAAGGAGAAAGAACTCTTTCATATTTCTGTATGACTTGAATTTTTTTAATGGTCAGCATTTATTCAATGAAATGTAATTCTTTTAAAACAAATTATGCAATTAAAATTTAAAAAACAATTTTTAAATAAACAATAGGGAAAAAAGAAGACCCCTGAAAGCTACTGATTAATAATTATCATTATAATTCCAAAGTCTGTTTTGGCATCTAAACCCCCTAGACAATTCCAACCAATCTCACTTTTCAAATTCTAGACTAATAAAATCTCTTTTAATTACAAATGTACACTTCTACAAATAAAATCTATCTTTGGAAGCTAATCTGAGAACCAAAAATATAAAATTATAAACCTAATTATACTCAAAATTTTGAGAAGTATTTACATGCGAGGCCTTTAATTGTATCAGACAGTAGTCATCAACTGGAGATAAAGCATTCTCCTGAAACAGCACAATTCTGATTTTCAAATACTTGAGATTATCTGCACTTATAACAAAGTGAAGCATAAAACACTCAAAATCACTCATCTATTTTAATTTTTAAAGTGTGTGTGTGTTTGTGTGTGTGTGCACACACAACATCACACTTGGGGTGAGAAAGTGTAGAACCTGGAAAGAAGTGAATAAGCAAACATGAAACATGTCAACTCAAAAAGGTTGTAGGGGCTTCCCTGGTGGCGCAGTGGTTGAGAGTCCACCTGCTGATGCAGGGGACATGGGTTTGTGCCCCGGTTCGGGAAGATCTCACATGCCGCGAAGTGGCTGGGCCCGTGAGCCATGGCTGCTGGGCCTGTGCGTCCGGAGCCTGTGCTCCGCAACGGGAGAGGCCACAACAGTGAGAGGCCCGCGTACCGCAAAAAAAAAAAAAAAAAAAGGGTTGTAAATCAACATCTTAAACAATGACCCAACAATCTTTTGGGGAGAAGCCACAACTAATTACTCCAGGCAGCTCTGGAGTTTATACCAAATCCTGAAGTTTACGCCAGGATTCCAACCCAGGCTGCCTAGCTCAAGTCAGGCATTCAAATGCTCTTAACTACTATGCTCTCCTGGATCATCTCAAAGCTTTGGTTGAACATGATGGCAAAGGCATTTAATTAAACATGAGCCATTCATTACCACAGTACTATACCATTAAAAGCAATGCCATTTTTCTCGTCAAACGTCTCATCAAATGTAGTGACATTTTGTGGTGAAATTGTTTTCCTTTGGTAGCAACCAGAAGAAAGCAGGGTCCATGTTGTGTGGTTTATCCTTAACTCAAAAATTTGCAAAAAGAGGGGCTTCCCTGGTGGCGCAGTGGTTGAGAATCTGCCTGCCAATGCAGGGGACACGGGTTCGAGCCCTGGTCTGGGAAGATCCCACATTCCGCGGAGCAACTAAGCCCGTGCGCCACAACTACTGAGCCTGCGCGTCTGGAGCCTGTGCTCCGCAACGGGAGAGGCCGTGACAGTGAGAGGCCCGCGCACCGCGATGAAGAGTGGCCCCTGCTTGCCGCAATTGGAGAAAGCCCTCGCACAGAAACGAAGACCCAACACAGACAAAAATAAATAAATAAATTTATAAAAAAAAAAAAAAAAATTTGCAAAAAGAGTTTGAGAACCACTCTTTGGCATGAAAGTTCAAAAGAATAACAAAACACAATGCAATTTCTCATTTAGACATGTGCCAGGAACAGTACTGCCCCGAGGGAAGCAAGAGAAAAAAAAATTATTTTTACAGGGCTTCCCTGGTGGCGCAGTGGTTGAGAGTCCGCCTGCCGATGCAGGGGATACGGGTTCGTGCCCCGGTCTGGGAAGATCCCACATGCCGTGGAGCGGCTGGGCCCGTGAGCCATGGCCGCTGAGCCTGCTCGTCCGGAGCCTGTGCTCCACAATGGGAGAGGCCACAACAGTGAGAGGCCCGCGTACCGCAAAAAAAAAAAAAAAAAATTATTTTTACAAAAGTATATCTATAAAAAAAAAAAAAAGTATATCTATTAGATAATCTAACATAGCTTATGGGAGAATGAAAAACCACTGCAAATTCAGGGTGCATAATTTCAAGCAGAACTTTTAACAAGAGAAAAATAGGCAACAAGGAGAGAAAAAAAAATAGAAATATCTTTGCAGGTTAAATAGATAGTATCACCTCTACCCCCAATCACTGTCTATAGCAGGGCTCAGAAAACTAAGACCAAGGGCCAACTTGATGCCCTGACTGGTTTCATAAATAAGATTTTATTGGAACACAGCTCTGCCCATTCATTTACTTATTGTCAATGGCTGCTTTCAAACTATCATGGCAGGGTTGAGCAGCTTCACCAGAGACGATACACCTATATATTTACCATCTGCCTCCTTAAAGAAAAAGTTTGCCAACACTTATTTTCTTTCATAAAACTTAAAACTATCTAAAATTATTTATTTTTTGATTTACTCAATTATTGTCTGACTTCCCCATTGGAATGCAAACTTCATGAAGAAAAAGACTTTGTTCTCCACTATACTTCTAGCACCTAGAACAGTGCATGGCACGTAAAAAGCACTCAGTAAAGATGTTGAATGAATGGCATTTATTGAGAGAAAGGAGAACAAACATTTCCCATCTTCCCATTTTCTCTTTGTTGCACTATTCTCCCCCCTAATACACCAAAACAAGTCCTCTCAATTAACCATTGGATTTATCATGTTGATAAATCCAATGGTTAATTCTCAGTCCTCATCGTATCTGACTCACCAGCAGCACCTGACCCAGTTGGTCTACACCCTTCTCCATGCGACTCTCAGAACACCACATTCTCTTAGTTTTCATCCTACCCTAGGGGCCCTTCCTTAGTCTCCTTTGCTGGTGCTCTCATTTCCCCAACCTCTTAATGTTGGCATGTTTCAAGGCTAAGTCTTTGAGACTTTTCTCTCAGTCCACACTCATTTCTTTGTTAGCTCATCTAGTCTCATGACTACTCTTAGGCATTTCAAACTTAACTAGTCAAAATCCAAAACCAATCTCATCTTTCCCCCAAAAGCTGCTCCTTTACAGTCTTCACCATCTCAGTAAATGGGAATATCATCCTTCCAATTGCTCAAGACCCAAACTCTTGGGAGTCAACCAACTCTCATCGTGTTACACCCAACATCCAATCTACCATCAAACCCTGGTGGCTCTATCTCAAAATATATTCCAGGTTCATGATCACTTCTCACCAACTCCACTGCTACCATCTTAGTCCCTTGACAGTTTCCCTGCTTCCACCCTTGCTCCCGTACAGTCTACTCTCAACAGAGCGGCCAGGGTGATCATGTTTAAAATGTACATCTGCAAGTTGCTGCACACTCAAAATAACTTGCTCTAATAGCTAGTTAGCTGTCTTTCACACTCAGAGTTAAAATTCTTACACAATTTGGTCTCCTGAAACCATTTTGCCTCTTTGTTCCCTCCACACCAGACACACAGGCCTCCAATGCCTATCCTAGAGCATATCAAACAAGCTCCCATTTCAGCGCCTTTACACTGGCTGAAAGCTTGATCTAACTGAATGAACCAGGACTCCTGAATCAGGCACTTCCATGAACTATTGTGTCGTCTAATTCACATAACAACTCTGTGAGGTAGGTGTCAATACCCCCACTTTACAGATTAGGAAAGTGAGGTTTACAGCCCACCTATCTAACAAGTGATGGAGCTGGGGTTCAAATCCCATTAGCCTACACAGAACATGAGCTCTCCGTGCAGTTTTGGGGGCCTAGGAGAAGAGGACTCAGTCAGTGATATTCCTCTGAAGTCCCGGTGACTCCACGTGCGTGTTGACAGCTAGAGAAGGATGTGAGAAAGGGCAGGCAGAGAGACAGGACGAGAACCACAGAGGAAGTTACTCAAACCAAGAGTGGAAAGTTTCAAGGAAAAGGGAGTGGTGTCAAATGGAAGCGAGAAATCCAGAAGCCCAAGAACCAAGCACATTCCTCATAGTAAATCACATCTGTGGTAGACAGCGACTCTGATCTTGATTTAATTTTTTAAAAAAGTATCTTCTCCTGCCAATAATATTGGCCAGAGAGATCCCTGCTAGGTACTGCCACTTGTCTGCAGCAAGTGTGTGAAAATAGGCTGTAGTTAAGAATGTGATTCAGCAACACAGCTTCACACCTAGGTTTTCCTCTGGCCCAGTCAGACAAAGTTTGCGCGTGCGGTGGGGTGGGTTTAGGGGGACGACTGCCCTTTAAATTTCAGAAGGCAAAGAAAACAGCAATGATCTTCCTGACTCCCTGTGGCGGTGTGGGACCACCGCTGCCTACATCCCAGATATTCTGTAAGAGGTCAAAGCGGTAGCCAGGGTCGGAGGGTGAGTGTCGGGCCTCGCCCCAAATTCTTCCAGCAACATTTCGCCTATGCTCTATTCCTCTACGTCCCAGTCACGATACGATCTGCTTCTCATCCCCACCCCCCAGCCATATCCCGGTCTGGCCCAGAAAAGCCCCACACCCCGCAGTGGCCCGGGCATAAAGATCCCGCCTCACCACGGCTCCCGCCACGGCGTGGACCAGGCTTTCGTAGGACAGCACGGAAGCCATAGGTGCGGTTCCCGCAGACCTGGCCACAGTTTTCTCGCAGCAAACAGCCGAACACGGTTAACAAGCGCCTGAGCCCCGGGCGGCAACGTCACCAGCTCTAACCCCTCAGGCCCACCTCCTCCAGAACTACTTCCGGGTCGCAGGGCGCCCGCCCACTCTCCCGGCCGTAGGCCGCAGGAGAAGGAAGAGGGAAAGACGGGACTGGGAACGCCCCTTGGCTCTGATTGGTCCCCGGGCCTTGCGCGGGGCGTGGTAGCACCATGCTGCCCCTACCACGCGGAGCGGTGGGTCGGGCCGAAATTCACTACGGGATGGGTCAGCTTCGACTTCCGCTACGTTCTCGGGACCTGGCCGGTCGTACTTCACACCTACTGCAAAACTGGAGACTTCAGAAAACCTGGACAGCCTCATTATTCTCCACTTATCTCCATAAGACAAGATGGAGACAAGCAAGATGGGGGACTCATCTTCCTGTTTCTGAGACTTGACTCGTATTTGCTCTCGCTAGTATTTTTAGTCACATTTTGGTCAAGAGGAAATAAATGTGGATTGGGCAAGGTTCTTCCCTCTGAAAAACCCTGGTGGGAAGAGAACTTGAGCTTCAGGAAATCAAAATGATCAGATGGAGGTGGGGACAAACTAGTAGGCACCCAGGAAAATCATTTGACCTCTTGTCATCCCACCTTCTTTGTGGAATGACAAGTGTTAATACCGTGAGGATTAGAAGTTAATTTACGTAGACGTACTTTATAAAATACCGGAAAATTTTTTCCATGTTACAAAGCGAAAACCCAAACTACACAGAACTAGAAAAATCACATTCTACCCCTCACCCACAATTACTCGAGCACCATAGCTTTGTGCGTCTGCCTGTTTCAGTACCAGTAAGTTTACTTCTATAATATCTTTGCTGATAGTCCTTGACTGCTTGCTACAGCCAGGCCCAGTGCTTTACGCCCTTTATCACATTTACTCCCAGAAAAGGGCCCCAACAATGTTCACCTGGTCATGTTTTCACAAAACTTGCATAAAATATTTTAATTGCTATTGGTTAAGATCCCATTCCACTTAAACTCCCTTTCATTTACAGTGGTGCTACAGTGACGACAGCTAAGTTAAAAGCAAGTTTGGGCACACAGTTGGATTTAGAGATATTTATATGTTATTAATACAGGTTACTGCTAGACATCCTATGTTAGGAATCGCTTCCAGGAATACTCCTACCACTCCCTAAGGTCATGACATTAGGTGCAGGTCCAAAAGTCAAATGAAGATAGGATTCTGGCAGTGGAACATAGAAGCTTGTCCGCTATAAAATTTAACCAGAGGACTCAGTTCTCACAGACTCCTACTTAAATTGGAAGCTCTCTCAATAAAAAACTGGACTATGTAGGATACAGATTTATAAACACACTTTACAAATACTTTCCCTTTATTATGGTAATTGAACACAATATTTTTCAGAATTACCATTTGTCGGGTATGACCTAGGGCAGACAGCACGTCCATCTGTGTGAAATCTTTTGCATCTCAGCTATCAAAAAATATTTTGATCAAGATGGAATTATCTATTCTATTGAAAACACAAAAGTCATATAATCAGAGTAGGCAGCAGAAAATGTAGCAATTCCATAGGTATATCATTTATTAAATGGAACTCTCTTTATAGTTGTGATATTTGAGATATTTCCAATTTCTAAAAGTAACATTTTGCTCATTCTAAACATTCACTTTCACATCTCAGTATTCCTAATTATATACTGTTTTTCTTAAAGAGGGCTCCCTGAATTATATAAGCACTAAGTCCCACACTACATAAACGATATACTAAAAATTTAGCATCATTCTGTTCACACCCATACCATCATTACAAAATAGTTAAAAATAACCTAGCCATAACTGATTACCTTCCTATTTGTTTATACACTGCCATATGGTCAGGTTACTTACACTGCAACCTAAAAATGTCATGATCTGCGAGTAAACTACTTGACATCCTGATTAGATACCTAGAATTTCATAGCACTTACACACGAGTTTATGCTAATTCTATTTACCTCCTTACTACTCTGGTTCCACCTAATACTTAGGATCCAGTTTTAAAACTTTTGCCAACACGACATGCCTTACTCAGTTTAGATTTGACTTCTTGAAATTTACCAGCTATCCTTAACTATATTTTCCTATGTACTTTAGGCGACGCGCCCCCAAATATATGCACTCCAAAGTATGCTTTATTGGTTGTAAATATTGGTACATATTAATTTTTTAAAATTACAGCACCAGGGCTTCCCTGGTGGCGCAGTGGTTGAGAGTCCGCCTGCCGATGCAGGGGACACGGGTTCGTGCCCCGGTCCGGGAGGATCCCACATGCCGCGGAGCGGCTGGGCCCGTGAGCCATGGCCGCTGAGCCTGCGCGTCCGGAGCCTGTGCTCCGCAAATGGGAGAGGCCACAACAGTGAGAGGCCCACGTACCGCAAAAAAAAAAAAAAAAAAAATTACAGCTCCAAACTTTTTTTTTTAGATGTTGGGGGTAGGAGTTTATTAATTAATTTATTTTTGCTGTGTTGGGTCTTCGTTTCTGTGCAAGGGCTTTCTCTAGTTATGGCAAGCGGGGGCCACTCATCATCGCTGTGCGTGGGCCTCTATCGCGGCCTCTCTTGTTGCGGAGCACAGGCTCCAGACGTGCAGGCTCAGTAGTTGTGGCTCATGGGCCCAGTTGCTCCGCGGCATGTGGGATCCTCCCAGAACAGGGCTCGAACCCGTGTCCCCTGCATTAGCAGGCAGATTCTCAACCACTGCGCCACCAGGGAAGCCCAGCACCAAACTTTTTAAAACTAATTATTTCTTGTCCCTCTAATTGGGCCCATCACAAGTGGACTAATAGCACAATTATGCCATCAGACTTCTACTAGGAAAAACCCCTGTGGAGGTGCATTGTCAGCACCAATGATATGATATGCCTTATTTAACTAATGCCCTTCAAATGTACATTTAGTTTTCAATTGCTTAAATGAACAATTCTGCAAGAAGCAACCTAGTACACAAGAGGGGAGGCAGCATAGAATTTAGGAACAAGACATTTGAAGCCACACGCCTGATGAGAATCTCAGCTCCACAAATCAACTATGTTATCTTGGACAATTTACGTAAGTGCTTCAGTTTCCTCATCTATATAAAATGGGGAGGAATACTCACCCTTGTGGTCATTACCAGAATCAAGTCAATACTTGCACAATAAAAGTGCTTGGCACAGATTACTACTCACCTGATGTATGTGCCTACTTGGGTGCATTAATTTTAGATATGAGCAAATCTCTAAAATACTGCTTCTCCCTTATCCCATTAGGCCAGTATTTCCTAGTGTGGCAGATTGCTAGTTGTTACTCTGGGTCTTTTCTCCATTTCTCTGTAGTAGTAATTATTTTTGTTGGGCACATGACCACACAGCTATGGAATATTTTGTAGGTTTACTTGGAGCTAAATATTGTCTCAAGACAAAACAAAAATGACCAATGGGATATGAGGACAGAATGTTACTTCCATGGATTAGCATCAGTTATCTCAGCATACACTTCCCTGGTGCCTTCTCCAGTTTTTTGGGGCTAGATGAGCACCAGAGCAAGCACCTTTGAACACAGCAATGGAAGCTCCCTTCTAAATACGGCACAAGTGCTTACCTCTGAACTGCAACCTGAAGAAATGTAAAGCTCTATTTTACTTAAGCTAATATATTTTTAGGGGTCCCTGTTAACACTGTATAATCTAAAGTCTACTGTGCTTAGTAAATACCTTAGGATTAGTGATATAGAGACATAAAAGAAATAGAACATGTGCTGAAAAAAAGGGGAGTGGTGGTGGGAAGAGTCAATATCTAGTCTGAAGCCACACTTTATTTTTAACGTAGCTAGAAATATCCAATAACTATAAATATATATATATTTATTTTAATAATGATGCCATTGATCACTGTGAATCAGCCAGGAACAAAGATCGCCATGTGTTGTTTTTTTTTTAAACCCCTCATTTAACTATATATATATATATATATATATATATATATATATTTTTTTTTTTT